GGGTTGTGATGAAAAGGGGGGGGCACGTGATCAGACTTCCCGTAAGTCGGTAGGAGAGGGAGGGATCCCTGGGGCAAATTATCCTGGACAAGTGAACTGAACCATCCTGAGTGTAGCAGGAGGTTCAAGGGACCCCTTAGCTATGCTAGCTGGACAGCTGGACCATGCCACTCTGTGCCAGCAACAAGACGCAGGCGTCAGGCCAGACTGAACCTCACCACTCTTTCCAGCTAGCGGGGTCCTAGGTAAGTTCTGAGAGGGTTTCTGTACAAGGATTGAGGCTTGATCCCACGATTACCCATATACTCAAGGCCCCTGCTTCTGGGCCCTACATCTCCCCATGCAGACCTAGGGAGCAGACCCTGACCCCTTACTCCCTACCTTTTGACCTTTTCCTTGCTCAGCTGCAGCCTAGCAGTCCAGCTATCCAAGGGGCGGGAGAGTGTTCTTATCATTTCTACAGACCCAGCCCACAACATCTCCGATGCATTTGACCAGAAGTTCTCCAAGGTGCCCACCAAGGTGAAAGGCTATGACAACCTCTTTGCCATGGTGAGTAGAGCAAGGCTTAGCTCCCCGTTCTGGCAAATGCCCATTCAGGTCTTTTCTGTGAACACCTACTGTCAGCTACAATATCTTGCCCAGTCTACATTCTTTGTCTCTCCAGTTTCGCCTCTTCTTTAACAAACCCACAGGGAAACGACTGAGGAGCAGAAAGCCAGAGTGACTGGAGTTTAGTGAGCAAGGGGAGGGAGACATCAGAAAGGTCAATCAGAGCCACGTGGTGTAGGACCTTGTAGGCCACTGGGAGCAGTTTGGCCTTAATTCCAAGTTTAATAGGAAGCTGTTCATTTTGAGCAGGGCAATGTCATAGCCTTGAAAAGTTCCCTGTGGCTGCCATGCAGAGATTGGGTTGTAAGTTGAGGCTGGAAGTAAGGAACTAACAAGGAGCCTTGGGCAGTGACCAGACATGAGATGATGACAGCCAGTACTAAGATGGATGCAGAATGTGTTGGGGGAGAAATGATTGGATTTGGGATGTCTCTTGGAAGTAAAGCAATGCAGCTGCTTGATTGTAATGGGTGAGAGAAAAAAATGAATTAAGTAATATCTTAGTTGACTCCTGAGCAGCTGGCATGGGGAAGACGAGGAGTGGAGTAGGTTTAGAAGGGACAAGTCAGGAATTCTGTTTTGACCACAGTGAATCCAAGGTGACCACTGGACATCCAAGTGGGGACACCACGACAGTGTCTTAGCTATGTGGGCCTGGAACTCAGAGGATGTTGATGTTGATTTGGAGGTCGTTGTCCCAAGGGTGGTATTTAAAGCTGTGTGAGTGAAGAATATGAGAGAACAGAGGCCCAGAAACAACATTTTCATCAGCCTTTAGGTAGTGAAAGAGGCCAAGAAGAAGCCACCAAGGAGGTGGGAGGAGAGGTAGAGGTTATGGGCTCCTGAGCTCCATGAGGGCAAAGGAACTTGGGCAGAAAGAAGTTGTCTGCTCCAGCAGGTACATCAGTTTTAGAGAGACCACCCTAAGAGTGGGAACAAAAGCCTGCCTGGACTGGATGAGCTGAGGAGGTGGAGACAGTGAGCACCATGATGGGGGCTGAGAAATGGGGCCATCACTGGAGGGAGATGGAAGGGATAAGGAGGGCTTTTTTGAGAAAGTAGATGCTAGAGCATGTTTGTTTGCCAATGCAAATACTTCAACAGGGAGGGACAAGTAAATGTTAAAGGAAGGAGTGAGGATGCCAACAGCTGACTGTCCTCAGGTGGGAGTGAGCTCCATCCAGCGTACAGATCCATGACTTGGGCTCCTCCAGGGCCAGGGATGTGGAGGCAAAGTGGAGGGTTGGAGCATTTCCTTGGGCGGGGAATATATGGGTTTTGACAGCCAGTGGCTTTTCTTTCTCTGTGAGGCACAGGTCTCAGCAGAGAGCAAGGAGTGAATGGAACAGGAGTTTGAGGAGGGATAAGATGTGACATAAACACTCCCAAAAGTGAATTGTCTGGCTGTCGAATACCCATTGGAGTTCATGATTAGCAATGGGGAGCAAGGTGGAAGTCTCTGATGTTTACCTCACTACAGCCACACCGGTGACCCGGGAACAACCGGGATGGGGATTTTGCCAACCACAGAGGGAAAGGGGAGTGTTTGTAGAGACAACCTATGGAGCCTGAGCTGGATAAGGGTGCCAACCAGAGATACACTGACTGTAAACTGGCATCAGGGGAGAGGGGACAAGGTGGCCCAAAGAGATTTAAGTAACTGAAGCAGGAAGCAAGGAGGCCTGGGTCAGAAAGAGTGGTATGTGAGCTCATAGGTGACCCAGTGACTAAAAATAACCCATCAAGGGGGAAACTGGGTGTGGTGGTAGATAGACAAGCTCTGTGCAGGGAAGTGGGCCTCTGAGGCCAGTAATTGGGGGCTTCATCACAGGACCCATGAAGTCACCAAGAAGAGGTGACACAGTAGGAGGATAGAGAAGGAAGCATTGAGTCCAGGACAGGACAGGGTCCCCATGGATGGTCATACCTTTGTGGATTCCACATCCATGTTGAGGCCTCCTGTGTGCCAGACAGTTCCTGGTGCCTTCATGGGGCTGACATTCTTGTTAGGGAGACAGATGAGAAATGTGATGAGTAAATCATGTGAAGAGAGGCTGGATGTTAAGGAGAAAGGAAGGCAGGACAGTGGAGGCTGTTCCTATACTGTTAGATGAGATGATAAGGGAAGACTCACATTAGAGGAATAACCTAGAAGCAGTCAGGGGCCCGGGTGGAGGAATAGACAGTTAAAGCCCTGCAGAGGGCTTTGGCTTCTCTCTCTGGACACTGATCACAGTTTGCAGTTTTCCATGTTTTTTAAATAGTTTGACCCTTTGTGCAGTCGGGAGACCTTAGTGCCTGAGGGAGGGCCATGGCACCTTGAGGGTCTCCCCAGCCTCTTTCTTGATGGGACCTGATGCAGGGCTGAGGTTGAGGCCCTCTACTGGCTCCCCTGGCCTTGGTGCCCGCTCAGGTGAGAAGGCCTTGGAAGTAGCAGCAGCAGCCTGAGTCTTGATCCCTTGGCCCCCCCCAGGAGATTGATCCCAGCCTTGGAGTGGCAGAGCTGCCTGACGAGTTCTTCGAGGAGGACAACATGTTAAGCATGGGCAAGAAGATGATGCAGGAGGCCATGAGTGCCTTCCCAGGCATCGACGAGGCCATGAGCTATGCAGAAGTCATGAGGTCAGGCCCAGCAGGCTAGTGCTGCCTGGGGCTGGGGTGGAAGAAGGAGTAGAGTGGGCCTGACCTTCATCTCCCTGCAGGCTGGTGAAGGGCATGAACTTCTCAGTGGTGGTGTTTGACACGGCGCCCACAGGCCACACGCTGAGGCTGCTCAACTTCCCCACCATCGTGGAGCGGGGCCTAGGCCGCCTCATGCAGATCAAGAACCAGATCAGCCCCTTCATCTCACAGGCAGGCAGGGCCCCAGGGCATCCAGGTGTCCCCTGAGGGGGAGCCAGTCCCCAGGCCCACAGATGTGCAGTGAGAAAAGCCTTTCTCACATAACTTCTCTGGGTCCAAGGTTCCCAATGGGGGGAGGGTGGATCTTCATTAGGGGGGTACTGTCCCCCCACTCTGGGGACTTGGTGTTCCCGTCCCTGCCTGCTGAGTGCCCCAGACAGCTTGAAAGCACATATTCCAGAGCCAGGTGGCCCAGGCTCAGATGCTTTGCACTCTAGTGTGACACAGCTGTGTGACCTTAGGCAAATCACTTCATCTCTCTGGGCTTCACCTTCCTTGCCTGTCAAATGGAGAGCATGCGAGTGTTCCCATTTATTATTATTAGCATGTCAACATGACAGCCACACTTCTACACACATACTACTCCCCAGGTGGTGTGTGTGGTACCCCTTTGGGGACCTGTGCCTCAGGTAGTCACATTTGTAGAGCGCTGACTTTGTGCCAGGCACTGTTCTGAGCACATGACATACCATGAGTTCATCTGGCATACCAGCTTTTGGAGGTAAGGTCTACACATCGGGAAACTAAGCCTTCTGGTCGAGCCACCTGGCCATAGGCCCCCAAAAGAGGCAGAGCTGGGATTTGATCCCTGTGGTCTGTTCAAGGGCCCATGCCTTTAACCACTGGGAGGTGTCAGGAGTCATCCACCCCAGGTATTTAGCAAGCCCCCAACCCAGGAGGTATAACGGCCCAGGTAAGCCTCAAGCCCTCCCATGTCCTCCCCTTAGATGTGCAATATGCTGGGCCTAGGGGATATGAATGCAGACCAGCTGGCCTCCAAGCTGGAAGAGACGCTGCCTGTCATCCGCTCTGTCAGTGAGCAGTTCAAGGATCCTGTGAGTTATGATGCAAATGGACAGTAAGAGGCCCTGGGGCCAGGGACAGGGCCAGCACCTGGCCCTCACTGTCCTCTCTCACATCCTGCAGGAGCAGACAACTTTCATCTGTGTGTGCATCGCTGAGTTCCTGTCCCTATACGAGACGGAGCGGTTGATCCAGGAGCTGGCCAAATGCAAGATCGACACACACAACATCATTGTCAACCAGCTCGTCTTCCCGGACCCTGAGAAGCCCTGCAAGATGTGTGAGGCCCGCCATAAGATCCAGGCCAAGTACCTGGACCAGGTGTGCATGCCCAACCATCCACTCAGCCCTCAAACCTCTGATCTTGGCAGTGGAGATCTGGCCCAGCCTAACCACGGCACCACCAGCCATTTACTCTATGCTCTGACTCTGCTCCATCCCCCCTCTGACCTGTGCCCCAGCCTCCTGCCCTTCACCCCTACTTCAGACCCTTCCCCCTAATTCTGGCCCTGAAGAAATGTGGCTGGCCTAGCCTGAATACCTCTCACCCTGGGGAGCCAGAGGTCCAGCCCAGGGATCTCTGACCTCACTAGCCCCACTCCCACTTGTAACCCTGGGAGGCCCCCAACCCAACCCCTTCAAACCACCCACATTCTGTCCCTGCCCTGCAGCCAGCTCCCTGACCACTGTCCTCTGCCCCCTGCCCCGGCCACAGATGGAGGACCTGTATGAAGACTTCCACATTGTGAAGCTGCCTCTGCTGCCCCATGAGGTGCGGGGGGCAGACAAGGTCAACACCTTCTCCGCCCTCCTCCTGGAGCCCTACAAGCCACCCAGCGCCCAGTAGCACCGCTGCCAGCCCCAGCTGCTACCATTTCCACCCACCCTCTACCCCACTGGGGCAGAGTTTACACAAAGTCTCCCCATAGTACAGGGGGAGCCACTTGGGAGGTGGGAGGCGGGGAGGGGGTCTGTTCCCCCTGGTGGGGTTGGGGAGGCTATAGCTGCCTCTCACCTCTCCCCGCCTCTTGCTCCTCAATAAAATGATCATAAACCACTGTGGGTATTGAAACAAGGGTTTGGGAGTCAGCGTCTCCATGTACAGTTGCACAGGTTATACACTGCACAAAGATGTCACATCTAGAGGGACACAGTCACAAAAGATCTAACAAAGGTGTGTTTATTATGGCAATTTTAGAAGGTGGGTGTCCTCAATAAGGGGGTGCTTTTTGTAGCTCTGTATGGGTAGGAGTGTCCCTGCCATATGCCTGGAGTGGAAGAAAGGGGCATATACTCCCTTCCTTTGAGGCTCAGAGTGTGGGAACCAGGAGGCCCATTGGAGAGCCTCAGGCAGGTGGGGAGCGGATTAGGCAGGCAGTGGGCCAGTACTGCCTGCTGTTTGGTTTGGAAATTAGTGGGCGCCCTGGGCAGAGGCTAGGCTGGCCAGACTGGGGATTAACAGTCTCCACACCCCTGTGGATGGAATCAGCTCTACTAAGCATAGCTACAACCAGGGACAGATTAGGTGGCAGGGTAGCAGAGGACTCAGGCTAGAGATATCCCTGAAGTCCTGTAGGGCCATCTCACTGAGTGGCCTCATGTTTCCTATAGTTTGAGTTTCATCCCTAAAATAGAGACAAGTGTGGCCATTCACAGAGCCATGGGACAAATACACCTGACCCTGGCAGGGTCAGTACAGCAGCCCGGAAGGCATCCAGCAGGCCCCCTTAGCTCCTCCCTCTGCAACTGCTTAGACAGCCACATTCATCCCCACCTGGGAGACCCAGGACTGGAATGACCTGTTTGCAAGTTCCAAGCCAGAACTGGGGGTGGGGGTGGGGGGGTGGAAATGGACAAGAGGTGCCTGAGGACACGCATGAGTCAGGAAGTGGTGTTCAAACTGCACACCCAGGGTCTGGGTGTGTTAAGGTGTGTGTGTGAGGGGAATCCAGCCACAAGCCAAGACGTGTCCACGACTCAATTGCATGAGATATACACAAGCGGGTGTGGGCATGTTGGGGTGGCACTTGTAAACAGTGGTGCAACCCATGGCAAAGACCTCAGGCTCCCAGCTGAGCCACCTGGGTTCAAATCCCAGCTGTGCCTTAAAAGGGCTGTGTCATTTGAGCCTCAGTTTCCCTACCATTTGGTGGGGATGACAAGCACCAACTTCATAAGCCTGCTTGTAAAGACTCAATGAGATGAAATAAGTAATGTCTTTATGAATGTTGTTATCCCTTGTTACAATTAAGCATGTGAACTAACTTGGGCAACCTGCCCCAAGCCCAGCAGGGGTCCAGCAGTCAGAAGTGTGTGGGGACACTGAACTGGAGGAAGGAGATGAGCACGGGGAGAGAAGAGGAGGCTGGCTGCAGTGCGTATAAAGATACATCTTGGGGAGTGGGGGCCTCTGGTCAGGAATGGAGCTACATCAACTTGAAGCCTGTCCCCTCCCTGGGGCCCAGAGCTAGCAGTGCCACAAGCATCCACTTTTATGGGCTGTCCGGCAGCTGGACAGCGGAGGAGAGGGTTGAGGGTAGCCAGCCTGGGCCAGTTCCTAATTACCCCAGGCGGGGCGGACATATGCCATGCTTGGAACAAGGTGTCCTGGCCAGCAGCAGGGTTTCCGGGTGCGGCCAGGTAAAGCCATCCACACTCCTAGCGCACAAGGTGGACTCTAGAGGAGCCCAGGGACTGGACCCTTGAGCTTCCACCCCTCCCACACCAGATTGCATATTTGAGGAATCGGATAGGAAGGCTGTTTGTGCCAAGCTAGGAGTGCCCACTTTGTAGGTGTGTCTGTGAGGCAGGAACATCTGTCCTGCATTCATGCCAAATGTGGGACAAGTTTTTGTGTCCCCAAGTTTGTGTGTTCATGGCAATGCTGAAAGAGTCTGAGATCTGAAGTGTGTCTGGGGGGGGTGCAGCCTGCACACCACAGTAAGGAGGCATTAGGGAGGGGTGTCTTACCATTGCGCAAATGCAGATGAGTTTCATGAGGGGTTATGGGCATGACATCATCTGGATGTGCCCCACAGGGTCTGCTGGACTGTTGAGGAGGGTCGCTGTTGTATGAGTGTGTCCTTGCAACACTGAGGGGTCTAAGGGACTCCAGGAGCATGTGCAGCTGTGTAGAGGGCAGGCATTCCCACATCTGTTGTGTGACCACAGGTGTATCTTTCTGCAGGGAAGATCAGGAATAAATGTGTGCTACCACCCTCTGTGTGTGGCTGTGTATGAAGGCTTTTTAGTCTCTGGGTAGGGTCTTTACTTAGCTGGTGTGTGTCAGTGTTGAAGGAAGCTGAATTTGTGCCTCAGTCTCTGATGTGTGTTTCTAAGTACAGTACACCTTTGTGACAGTGTATGATTACAGGTGACTGTGGAGTGAGCCAGCCCAACTGAGCAGTGTGTGTGTGTGTGTGTGTGTGTGTGTGTGTGTGTGTGTGTGTGAGAGAGAGACTGGGAAGGGCACAGTCCCTGCCCCCTCCCCCAGCTCTAGGTCCAAGATTCCTTGGACCTGCCAGTGACTGCCAGGGAGAGACTGGGAGGAGCGAGGGAGGCTTGGTTGGATTTCTCCCCCTGCTCTAGATAACAAACTGGCCAGACTTCTCCAAAGTTCTGAGGCTGCAGCCCAGGGGTGCTGGCCAAGGAGGAACCATCCACACCCATTCCTCAGCCCCCTCCCAGGGTCTGGCTTCTGCCACACCCAATACTGAAGCCGCCTGCCCATCTGTCCCTATCCCTGTGTGTCCTGCACCCGCCATCAGGTGAGAAGGGCCCAGGCCCAGGGGAATAGGGGATCCTGAGGACAGGTGGGTCTGTGGGCAGGAATCAGGCAATAATCCATCAGAACCCTCAGAGTATGGAGTGAAGAGCTTGGAAGCCTGGAGAATAAAGAGAGGAAAGATCAAGGTGGACCCAGGAGAAGGGAAAAGATAATTAAGTGGGGAGGGTGGAGAGGCTGAGGCAGCTGTGCAGGAGAGGGGGCCAGCTTGAGGTAGGGAGGCTGCAGGAGGGGATCTGGGGGCCTGGAGGCTTGAGGATGGCTTCATAGGGCTTCAGAAGAGAGTGCAGGGGTGGAGGAAGGGCAGAGACTGGGAGCTAGGGGATGTGAGGGGCAGAGGTGGGATGTGCGAAAGAGGAATGGGGGAGTCAGTCAGAGCCCTGAGAACCTAGAAACCGAGGCACTGGGGACCCTAAGAGGCTGTACATAGAGCCCAGGTAAGGTGGATGGGACGGGAAGGAATGGGACTGGACGGGATGGGACAGAAGGCAACTCAGTTTACTCAAGGGTTTGGGAGGTGGAGGCTGGTGAGAGGGCCTGAGGAGAGGCGCAAGATGTGGGGAAACAAGAACCCAGAAAGGGGGTGGCCTGTAAGAGAAGGCTTGGGGAGGCTGGCAGCTAGAGACGCGACTGGGCAAGGCCGGGAGGAGACTGGACCGAGGTGGCCGGCACGGGAGGAAACGCTGAGCTGAGCCACACCGCACCTCTTCACCCCCGCCCGCAGCCCCCAGCCCCTCCCTCTGGGCGTCCCGGTTCTGGTCCGGTCCCACCTTCTCTGGCCGGACTGGTCCGGCGCCGCAATGACCGTCACGTACACGGCACGCGTGGCCAACGCGCGCTTCGGCGGCTTCTCGCAGCTGCTGCTGCTGTGGCGCGGCAGCATCTACAAACTCCTGTGGCGCGAGCTGCTCTGCTTCCTCGGGCTCTACATGGCGCTGAGCGCAGCCTACCGGTGAGGGCCGGGCGCTGCCGGCCAGAGTGGGCTGGGGGCCGGCTGCCCGCGACAGGGCTCAGGAGGAGAGCTCGCCCGTGACCCCGCACCCCTCCCTGCAGCTTCGTGCTGAACGAGGGGCAGAAGCGCTACTTCGAGAAGCTCGTCATCTACTGCGACCAGTACGCCAGTCTCATCCCGGTCTCTTTTGTGCTCGGTGTGTTCGCACTCCCGAGTTCCCCATCCCCCACCTGGAGAAACCCATTTCCATCCGTGCCTTTTGGAGACCTCCCCATACCAGCCCCTCTGAGAACCCCTCAAATCCAGCCCCACAGACCCCCATTTCTGCGTCCTTTATGCCAGGTGTGGCCCCTTGGATATAACCTGGTCACAGTGCCCCTTTGAGGATTCCATGTCACCCATATGCTTATCCCTGATCACCTCAGAGACTCCCACCTGTACCTGCATAAGATTACTAGTACCCCCTCCCCATGTCCTGGGCTGCAGGAACCTCCTCCAGGGACCTCGTATTAATCTGTCCTCTCAAGTCCAGCCCAGGAAGTATTTCTCTGACAAATCCTGGTCCCCAGCCTCCTTCCAGTTGTTCTCTGCCCACGTGGATGGGGTTACCAGCCTATGCCAGGATCCTTGACATAGATCCTGTGCCTAACCCCTTCATATGTCTCTGGCTCAGGGGCTTCCTGTGGCCTCAGTGAAAAACTGCCCATGGGCCCTTCTTCTCTGCCTCCATACTGGGGTTCCAGTCTCCCATCCAAGGTGACTCCCGAGTAGCCAGAGTAATCCAGGCTGCTCCAACCACTCTGACCTCAGGGCTAGACCCCCCAAGTTCCCAGCCCAGGCGGCCCTGGGTGGTCAGGGTGACCAGCCTGCCCAGTGCTGCTGACGCAGGCTCTATGTCACTCCTCAGGACCTGGGCCCCCAAAGCCCCTGGCCCTAGTGTCCCCACTGAGACCCCATTCCCGGCTCTGCCGCAGGCTTCTACGTGAATCTCGTGGTGCACCGCTGGTGGAACCAGTACCTCTGCATGCCGCTGCCCGACGCGCTCATGAGCGTAGTGTCGGGCACGGTGCACGGACGCGACGAGCGCGGCCGCCTCTACCGGCGCACACTCATGCGCTACGCGGGGCTCTCGGCCGTACTCATCCTGCGCTCCGTCAGCACCGCGGTCTTCAAGCGCTTCCCCACCATAGACCACGTGGTGGAGGCGGGTGAGGCCCGGGCCGGAGGTGGGAGCAGGGCGGAGGCTGAGAGTGGCCATGGCTCCAGTAAGGACGGGGGCGGGACGAGTGACACCCTCGACTTCACCCCTCCAGGGTTTATGACACGCGAGGAGCGCAAGAAGTTCGAGAACCTGAACTCATCCTACAACAAGTATTGGGTGCCCTGCGTCTGGTTCTCTAACCTGGCCGCACAGGCCCGGCGTGAGGGCCGCATCCGCGACAACAGCGCCCTTAAACTGCTGCTCGAGGTGGGCTTGCCAGCTAGTCATTCATACAAAATACCAGATAAGTTGTACATCACCGACCCCAGGAATTGTGTCAGAGGACGACCTGCCACACGCCTCCCACGAGGCTGATTCCAAACACCCTTACCTAGCAGCCCCCAAGTGTATATCTATCTCTATGGGGCCCCCACCCCAGGTGTATACTCACCACTAAATACTCTCCCTGGAGCCCCCAGAAGCACATGCCACCACCTTCGGCAAAGTGACCACTCACCTCCACCCCAAGTACCCACACTTAATCCCCACATGTGAGCTCACAAGTCAGGCCCCCACATAACTTGCATCCACCCCCAGGAGCTGACTGTGTTTCGGGGCAAGTGTTCGATGCTCTTTCACTACGACTGGATCAGTGTACCCCTCGTCTACACCCAGGTACACCCCCCCTCGTGCCTCTGTTTAGATCCATTGTCAGATGCACTGGTGTCAAGGGGAAACTGACAGCCCGCTAAGACCCCATCACAGTGACTTCCGATCCTGGCCCTGGTCTCCCCATGAACCCAAGGCCAGGAGAGCCCAGGCCTGGCAGCTGTCTGTCCCCAGGTGGTGACCATCGCGGTGTACAGTTACTTCCTGGCCTGCCTCATCGGTCGCCAGTTCCTAGACCCTGCTCAGGGCTACAAAGACCACACTCTTGACCTGTTTGTGCCAGTCTTCACTCTGCTGCAGTTCTTCTTCTATGCTGGCTGGCTCAAGGTGGGTGGGGCCCCCGAGGCCTGGACTCCATGTGTGGGGCAGGCAGGGGTTCTCAGGTCTCCGCTTATCTCCCTTCTCCCCACTAAGGTAGCAGAGCAGCTCATCAACCCCTTTGGAGAGGACGATGATGATTTTGAGACTAACTTTCTGATCGACCGCAACTTCCAGGTGAGACTCCACTGTAACCATTCCCAGGTTCCCAAAGTGGCCCTGGCCTCAACCTTGCCAAGACTTGTCCAGGCCTCACCTCTGAACCATCCTTATCTCTTTGGTATCACACTCCTACCCATCCTGAGGGGTCCACCCTGCGGTGTGCATGCTTTGCTCTTCCCCACCTAGCCCAGTGTCCGTGGCTGCAGGTGTCAATGCTGGCCGTGGACGACATGTACGACGACCTGGCTATACTGGAGAAGGACCTGTACTGGGACACAGCGGAGGCTCAGGCCCCCTATACCGCTGCTACAGCTTTCCTGAGGCAGCAGCCCTCCTTCCAGGGCTCCACATTTGACATCACGTGAGCCAGTGGGGTGGGGTGGGCCTCTTGGGGGGCCAGGCTTATGGCTCTGCTGTCCAATTGAGGGATTTAGGGGATACCACAACAGGGCTAAGGGCTAAATTCTGGAGATTTGGGGCTAAGAGCTAAAGTCTATAAGGATAGGGATTGGGGTCAAGGTCTGGGGCCAGACCACTAATTTGGGTCAGAGCTAAAGGCTAAATTGTGTGAGGATTGGACTGGTGGCCAGAGGAAATATGATGCCACAACTAAGACTTTGAGGCCTAAGTTTGAGCAGAGCCAGAGTCAGAGGATAAGGCCTGGCTCTTGGGGGAGGGGCCAAGATCTTTTGGGATAAGTGAGACAAGCGGGTGGGTGGATCCAAGAAAAGCAGCAGGCCTCGGTCCCAATTCTGTCAACCAACGAGTTGGGCGAGGTCACAGTTCTGACCCACTGCCGGTCACACAGGCTAGCCAAGGAGGACATGCAGTTCCAGCGGCCGGACGGCGTGGACGTGCCGCTGGGCGAGGCTCATGGCGACCCCTTGCAGCGCCTCCTGCCGGTGGGCCCGGGCATTGCTGCAGGAAGCCTACTGGGCCGGCGCCTGTCCTTGTTGCGTCGCAAGAACAGCTGCGTGTCGGAGGCGTCCACGGCCGCCAGCTGCACCAGCGCCCTCGATGGCGCAGCCCCAGAGTGTGGCTGTGGGGACCTACTGCTGGACTCTGGCCTTCGAGATCCGGAACCCGAGCCCCCCACTGGGCCAGAACCACCAGCTCTGGATGCCGAGCCCTTCATCACAGTGCCCATGCCCGCACCCCGGGGGCCAGCTCCACCCTGGCTGCCCAGCCCCATTGGGGAGGAGGAGGAGAGTGTGGCCTGAGACCCTGGGCCCAAGAAACCCAAGAACAGGGAACCAAGACCCACACCACACCCAGGCAGGTGTCCGGGTCTGCATAAGCCTCACGTGGATTTCATCTGCCAGCTTCAGACCAGTTCCCACTACCTGTGCTCCTGCCTTCACACCTGGCCTGTATCTCCTGTGGGCCAGGCACTGGGCTAAGGGCAGGGGATTTTTCCAGCTGCCTTGAGCAGCTCATCCTTCCTACCAACTCTACTTCCCACCCCCATTGCCTGAGAGGCTTCTATCAGTGTGTCCTGCCTTTGTTATTTCCTTATAATGGAGATGTGAATGCCTACCTCTTTGAGTTGTGAGGATGGGAATGAAATAACAGCTTTAAAGTGTTTGGTACATAATAGGTGCTCAATAAAATGTTAGTGGTTTCTACTCATATGCTGTTAGCCTGATTTCTCCTGCCAGGCATCATGCTAAGTCAGATTTGAGTAATTTTCCAGGTTATCTCATAATACCCTGCCCACTTCTTCTCAAACTCTGCTTTCTGAAATGGCCCCATAAGTGCTCACAACTTTACTCATTCATTAATGTACCAGCCACAGTCCCACGACCACAGCTTCCTCCTGCCAGCCTTGATTATTTATGATTCTGCAAGCAACCTCTCCACCCCACGTCCCTGAATTCTCAGATACCCTTTTAATTCAGTCATATGCTGATGGCTTCTGTATTTAGAAGTCCAGCCAGGATCCCTCCCCTCTCTCTAGACCCATAGATTCAACTGTCTTCTTAATGTCTCCATGTAGAGATTTCCCAGGCATCTCGGACATAACATGTTCCTGAATCAGTTCCTTATTGACTCCCCAACCTCTCTGTTGGCTTTGTCATTCCAGGTGACGAGGCCAAAACCTGGAGCAATCTTCAACTCCTTTCTCTCTAGCCCCCTCCACATCAACCCAGCAGCAAATCTCATTGACTTGATCTTCAAGTTGTATCCAGATTTCAACCGTTTCTCCTTCCTTAGGGTCCCCACCTTGGCGGCTAGATCCCCCATTGTCATGATCCACCCAGCTAGACTAGTGACCTCTGCCCTAGTCTCCCAGCCCCAGCCTTAACCAGTCAATTCCTCCTACAGCAGCCAAAGGGAGCCTATGAACACTTGAATCAGGTAACATCCCTCCTTTGCTTAGAACCCTCCATGACTCCCACCTCACTTAGAATAAAAGCTAAAGTCTTCCCTGTAGCTCACAAGGCCCTGAACAACCTCCCTGCCCTCGTCTCCTCCTTCTCCTCACTCACTCCACACTGTCCCTTTAACCCACCAAGCAAGGTCTCATCTCAGGGCTTTTGCACACGCTTTTCCCTCTGGCTGGATTGCTCTTCCCCAGATACCTACATGGCCCCTCCCTCTTCTCCTTCAGGCCTCTGCTTAAGCCTTTTATTAACAATCACCACTTCTTGGAGCATTTGAGATCTTGCTCCCCATCATGTTGTCAACTTGGCTCAAATAAATTCTTATAAAAAACTTTTTAAAAAAAATAACTTTATTGATTTTAGAGAGAAGAAGGGAGAGGAAGAGAGAGAGAGAGAAA